ATTAAGTGGAGCAAACTGCAAGTTATTAGTGGAAACCACATTCAAATCGGTTAAGTCGTTTCTGAGATTAGCATGTACAAAAATACAGATAAACAAACAAACCGACAAACATACAAAGATTCTAAAAATCATTGTTTGATCTATCTAAAAAAAAAATACTAAACGACATCTGTTGAGTTAGCTATAACTATATAACTCTTACTATTTTTATAAGCTTTATACAAATTGAAAATATTAGCGTGAGTGTTTTGTTATAATGTACATCACACAAGGTGATCTGCTCATGAAACTTGGCTGTATATGTTATATAGCCTAAATATGTCACTGTAAAAATAAATAATATTTATTATTCTCTTCTAAATTTTACATTAGAATAGCTAAAATAGTTTACATACAGTAAACAATAGGTGGCCTGACCTTATCATTCTCTGGCAACCTCAGTAAGTAATATTTAATGTTTAAAAAACATTAGATATTTAAAATGACACATAAAATCCCATGTAACATTTAATATTAACTTAAAACCATAAAAATTCTTTTTGGCTTTGACATAGTAACTTTTTGAAACTATTGTGACATTTGTGACAGTTGTTAAACGAGTCTAATTGTAACTAAATAGAGCTGGCCAATTCTCACAAACAATATGTGTAAGCTGATGGTGTAGAAATATTATTGTATACTTAGTGGGCATATTTAATAATGCCTAGATCAGTCTATTTAATATCTAATCTTTTTTTTTTAATTAATAAATAATAATTATAGTATTTTATAGTTCGCAGTGTAGGACAATCCCCTATTACATGAAGTGACATCGTCAAATGCATTGCAGAGAATTAATGAACGCAGGTGGCTTGGGACCGGTCCTTTTGACAATATATGGGGGAGGCCTATGTACAGCATGGGTTGGATAACGGTTGATATGATGATGAAGATTTATTTATCTTTACGTTGTCCTTTAAGAAAAAAAGAGAGAGCTGAATAATTTTGCACTTTTATAACTCGTCATGCATGTATGCTGATTCTAGAAACCCTTGACTCTACTTTATCTTTAGTATCTTTGAATTAAATTTTCCCATATCTTTACAAACTTTTATATTTAAAGGCAAAAGAATAATATATTTAAAATTAAGCTTAAAAACCTAGCTATGATTTTATGTTTATTATAAGTAATTGTAAATTTGATACAGTAAACACACTAGGTATAATTCTCATAATGTTCTTGTTTATTATAATAAAGCAAGTATTTTGATAGCTAAAATATGAAAGGGTGTAGGAAGTTTATATAGATTATATTTACGAGTGGCCGTGTGGTCCCGGTATAGAACGGGCCATCCCTACCAATCTCGTGGGTATCGTAAGAGACGAGTAAGAGAATTTAATCCTCCTGGTCCAGGTCCTGGGATAGGCAGCAGCGTACCTCTTAAAACACAGAAGTTTTACTGCGGTTGCCAACACGTCTACCGAGCGTGGCAATTACTATTAAAAGTCTTCAAGGGAAAGGCCTGTGTTCAGCAGTGAACAGTAAATGGCAGATATGACGACAATTATAACGAATAAGTACGACCAGTATCATAAGTTTTTATACACATTAAGATTTTTATAATTCTTATACACTGGTTTATATAATTAATAGTATATAATCAACAAGAGATATTCTTGCTTCACACAATTTCATAACTATTATTTAGGAGACATTTGACTCCTTTCACAGATTAAACACAATCAATTTGATTATAATAGGTTAGTGTAGGAGTAAATCTCCTTCGGTACATACGTAATGTTTCCTTCGGCTAATAATAATATTATTTAATATACTCTATAAAAATATATTCCGTATATATAGTTTTATACAACATACGTAATTATAATAAAAACTAAACATTATTAACTAAGAAAACACCGTGATAGAAAAGTAAACCAGCGGGAGATAATGGACTAACCGAGTGAGCTGAAACAGACGGCGTCTTGTGGAAAATAAACCACGCTTAAAAGTCGGTGTGAAAAATAATGTGAATTGCTAAACATTTCACATGTAGCGTTTATTTTTAAAACACGATAATTATAGAATGCTATCTTGACAAAGAGTTGCGCCTAGTACTTACTACTCTAAGAACATTCGACACCATTTTAGAAGATGGATGCATTATTCATAAGGTTTAATAAAATATTAGAACGCGTCGCCTTATAAAAGATGTCTATCATCATTTAAAAGTATATTCGAATTGGAATATTCTGGCGTTTAAATATTTTCTTCTTTGAGAAAGACTGACAGACTTGGGTGAAAGAAACAAACGTGGTGTGCCGTTAACTAATTTATATGTATCTAATAAAATATTTATACCTGTCTATTACTAACCACGAATATAATATCCGTGATATATTTTTATTGACATGTTCATCCTATTTGTACGCATCATGATTATATGGGCGGAGGTACAGCGGAAAAAGAGACGATCTGTCGTCGACTAATGAAAATATGATATAGGTACAAGTATACCAAAAATATCGACAGAATCAGATATTTATTTATTAGGAGCATGTTATATTTTTTGTATCTATGACAGATAAATAAAATAGACTTGTTGTCACAGTTTACCACTATAATATAAGCAAATATTTTTTTACTATAAAACAATAGGATATATACTGCTTGTAACTTTATTAGATACTAGCTTTAACCTGTGAAATCTCTTGTATCAGTTAATCATTTTATATACTAAGCTATAATATAACCCCCCCGTATACCAAATTTTATTCAAATTCGTTCCATAGTTTTTTCCTGAAATGGTTCCATTTATCCCTACAAACTGTCACATTTATAATATGTATAAGTTTATTAATGGGAGGATTCAGATCCATTTCAGATATAATTACTAGAAGAAGATATAGGTGTATGAAACATTAGTGACCCTATAATGGTTATCTACATTCCCGATCTTTCCTAAAACAAGCACATGTGTTCTCCAGAGATAATATAGACGCAGTAATTCACTTGAGGGATTTATGATGTATTCTGATTTGTATCTTCTTAGATTACACACTTACCTACACAGCTAAGCGTATCATTTCATTTGGAATTCTATATCTATATAGTGCGTACAGACGACCACAAAATAAGTCTATATTTTACAGCTTTGTTTAATTAATTTGTATATAACACAAATTTATTTATACTAAATTTTTGCTCTTACTAACTACTGACAAAATCACCCATCAGGGAGGCTTATGCTCAGCAGTGGACAGTTAAAGACTGACATGATGATGATAATGATTGTTCTTATTAAATAATACTAACGAGACTCAATGAACGTTTGCAAACATATCCGTAACAAAAACACATTCTATTGGTATGTGTTTGTGGTCCACGAAGCTTATAATAAAAACCCAATGTAGAGACACTACAATTTCATAGAAATTTCAAAATGAATATATTAATTTACCTTAATATACCTTTACTATACATAATTCATAACGAATTAAATATTAATAAATATTTAGGAACCTACTTTCTAAGAAGTAGCAGTAGAATTTAATTTTTATTATAAATAATATCTTTTTAGGATTTATGTATTTTAGGATTTATGGGACAATATTTAATAAAATTAAAGCTGACATTAAACTCATAGTTATTGTGAAAAACAGTATAAATTAATAAATTCAGTTTAAAAAATTTTTACTTTCTTTGCTGTACTTTAACTTAAAGTAGCTGAAGTAATGCTTGTTCTATTTCTATACAGTAAAATAACGCCATAACAACAGCTTAATAATATCCAAAATACAATTCTGTCAACTGTTGTAACTCGACATTTCTCTCATTTGTTATTTATTACTTCATTAGCAACTCTGGGGAGCTATGGTTGGTAAAGAATGTGAAGATTAACGTGTTGTCTGCGGTATTTATAATGAGTACAGTTGGTATATTTTTTTCCATTAGTCAGACCATTCACCTTGAAAACTTTTGTTTCTCATCTCTCAGTGCGAAGTTTTGCAATTCCCACGGAAATAAATACACGGTAAGATGAACTTTCGTCAAACCCACGACTATTGAGAACTCTTTGTTCCCTTTGAATACCCAGCCAGGAACCTAACAAGGAGATGAATTAACTTTCTTTAACTTAGTAGTCAAGTAATTTAGCATACCCATTATTTTAGGTAACTAAGATTCTAAATGGAACATTGTAGGGTAAATTTAGGAATGAATATTTTATATATTCGTAACCATTTAGGTTACAGTTTTCAGATTTATGCACATCAATGCTTCCTTGTCTACTCACAGCCGTAAGTTCTAAATCAGTCAACAATCACAACATAGAATAAAAATCAGATAATAAATTAATGTCTTCTATTAATGTTCTCTAAAAATATTACACCAAAGTGTTATATATAGTACCAGTTTCTGCTCCTATATGAAAAAAAATGTATGTTTTCACACAAGTCACGTTGCTCGCATATACATTTTGTCACAATCGCCATTTGTTGCTGATTTATTTTTGTAAAGCCAAATCTCAATTTTTTTATTTGTTTATTATACATAAATGTTTGTACTTATTCGTTTCAAACCTTTTACACAGAGCTACAGATTTCGATACATAGTAAAATATTGTAAAAAGTGTGTCCTGTATGTATGTCGATAGAAGATTTACTCACCAGAAGGAGACTTTATACAAAAGTCGTTTACTTGGGTACCTTTGGCTCATTCGCGTTTCTGGCGTGAAGTAATTGTATTTGCTTGGTTGTGTTTCGGTTGGAATGATGAGATATGGCAGTGAATTTACAGGGTACAGAGGAATAACACCTTAGTCCTCAGGAATGGCAACATATAGGGGGTATCATGGGCGAAACAGTATACTCTGTTATGTCTATAGTACATATCATTTCTATAGATGACGGTTACCGTTTTCCATCAGGTGAGCCATCAGCTTGATTCCCATTCTAAGTGGCATAAAAAAAGAACTTAAATGATAATAAAATATAGAATTCTAGATACATATCAAACTTACTTGTAATAAATATTCCATCTAGACCAGTAATATCATCAGGTGGCTTATTCAATGTGGTCCCATTATGCTTCTCTTGAGCAGCAGTCATGTTTGCATGGAACACATATCGGCATATTTCCCATACTCCAGCACTGCCCCACATGAGATATCGACCTCTGGCTGGTAGTGGAGCACCTAAGAAAAATAAAATATTACTAAATAGATTTTACCCGTGACTTCGACTATGTTAATACGACGACGACTATACAACGAATATTTTAATTAATTCTATCCTTCAGTATAATACGTGTATACCAACTTCCGTGACGATGAAAGACAAAGTTTAGAAATCGTCGCGTGGATAAATAATAAAAAAAACATTTTAATAAAGACAATAGGATAAAGTGCAAATTTAATATTTTGAATAATATTATACAATCAATATAGAGAAATTCCATCAAGAAGTCACAATACAAACATAGAATTAAAAATTGTCACCTCTAAATAGCTTATTGGCAAACTCACACACTTCTAATATAAATTAGGATAGTATCTCTCGAGTTTGCTCTATGAATTAGAGCAAATATTTGCCTATACACATCCTTAATATATAATAATTAGTTGATCTGTGTATCAAATTCAAATAAGTACCTAATGTCATCCAAAAATTTATCGATTAGAAATATTAAATTGAAAAAAAAATATATAATTGGTTTAGAATTGACGACGATATCATGGAATCTATCTACATAAAAGAAATATATAGATGAAGAAAGAAATATAATATTTCAATAAATGTATAGATGAAGGGAAATTTCCTAACATAATGAAAATTAGTAAAATCATACCGCTTTTTAAATCTGGAGATAGGAGTGACCCAATAAATTATAGACCTATATCCATACTCCCAGCACTCAGTAAAATTTTTGAAAAAATAATCCTTATGCAACTTGTCAGTTATTTCAATTTAAATAATTTAATCCACAATAGTCAATTCGGTTTTTCCAAAGGTCGTTCAACTACAGACGCAGGTGCAGAGTTGCTTAGACACGTATTTGCTGCATGGGAAACTAAAATGGATGTGATAGGTGTTTTTTGTGACCTTTCTAAGGCTTTTGATTGCGTTGATCATAATACATTGCTAAAAAAACTTGCTTTTTATGGCGTCAAAGACAATGCTTTAAATTTAATAAAATCTTATCTATCTGATAGAATACAGAAAGTGAAGATTAGCAACGCTACGTCTGACGGGTCACTTGTGCAAATGGGTGTACCTCAAGGATCTATTCTCGGTCCATTTTTATTCCTAGTTTACATTAATGATCTCCCATATGCCATGCAGGATAGATGCGGCATAGTATTGTTTGCAGACGATACTTCATTGATTTTTAAAGTTAATAGAATGACTAATAATTATGACGATGTAAATAGTGCTTTGCGGCGTCTCCTGCACTGGTTTACAACTAACAATCTTATGTTAAACGCTAAAAAAACAAAATGTGTTAATTTCTCTCTATCTAAAAGTTTTAATACTAATTGCAATATTAAATTAAATGACGAATCTCTCGAATTTATAGAATCTACTGTCTTTCTAGGAATCACACTAGATAATAAAACACAATGGGGTGCACAAATTCAAAGCCTTGCAGCGAAACTAAGTTCAGCAGCTTTTGCCGTGCGTAAAGTTAGACAGTACACTGATACTGATACTGCTAGATTAGTCTATTTTAGTTATTTTCATAGTTTACTCTCTTATGGAATATTACTATGGGGAAAAGCGGCAGATATTAAGAATATATTCATATTACAAAAACGTGCCGTTCGAGCGATCTACTGTATGAAGAGTCGTGACTCATTAAGAGAGAAATTCAAAGAGGCAAATATTCTCACCGTTGCTTCTCAATTTATATATTCAAATATTCTATATGTTCATAAAAATCTTGACTTATTTCCAAAAAACAGCAATATTCATAATATTAATACTAGATTTAAAGACAAACTTGCTGTCCCCAAGTATCGTTTAGAAAAAGTTAATAGGTCTTTTATGGGAATAGGTATAAAAATTTACAATAAGATACCAAAGGATATGTTGGAATTACCCTTAAATAAATTCAAAACATCTGTTAAATCATATTTACTGAGCAAAGCCTATTACTCACTAAACGATTACTTGAATGACAAGTGTGCATGGCAATAGTTGTTCATGCACTGAATTTTCATTTAATGTTAGACATAGACACCTATATAAATATACATTGTAAATAAACTGGCTTTAAAAAAAAAAAGTAATTCAATTGAGTTTCTTGCCAGTTCTTCTCAGTTGGATCTATATACCGAACTGGACGGTAGGGTAAATATAAAATTATAATGTAAAAATTTGACGTTCATAAGCGGCTAAAATGTCCTACATGAATAAATGATTTTTGAATTTGAATTTGAATTTGAAATGTATTTATTTATATACATTATTACATTATATGCAATATAACAAACACTCAACGCTCATGCTGTGGAATTAACATCCTGCTGAGGTTTTCTCTAGAGACTACAGTATGGGGGTTTTAAAAAAGGGTATATTATGGTTTCTTCAGGGCCTATAACACGCACTATCATTCCTAGTATTGCAGACGTCCAGAGGCTGCAGTAACCGTTTACCATCAGACGGGAGAAATCAAATAGTATGTGTATACCAAGTTTTATAACAGTTGATCAAACCCTTAAAGTGAAATGAGGTAACAAACAAATAAACAACAAGCTGACTTTTATATTTATAATATTAGTAAGGATTTCAAATATGAAAAAGAATGAGATAGAATATTGTTATCCCATACCAAAATACCTGTTGATGCCGAGTTTAATTATCTGTCATGTTTCACCGAGCTTAATCTACTTGGGTTGTAGTTACGTAATTTCGAAATAATGTTTACGTAAGCGTAAGTAATTAGTGAATTGTGATATAATCAAGAATTCCTTTGTTTTCTTTAACAAAGAAAACAAAAGGTAATTTCTGATTATAAATTCTTATGGAAGCTTAAATTGAATTATTAACTTAAATATATTACAAGTAAATTGGAATACAGATTTTTAAATTCGTCCTTAAAGATTGAATTATTAAATTCGGTGCCTTCAAAGAAAAATGTTACGTATGGATAGCTCTTAATATTTTTTTTATACCTTATCAGGTTTATGAGGTCAAATAACTAAAAAATATTTAACTATTAATCTATAGTTACATCAAAGTAACTTGACTTATGATTCTAATGTAACTATAATCAAATTTTCTAATAGACAAAAATAAAAAAAAAAAAATAACACATCAGAGGGCCTACCATGAGATGTTTTCCGAAATTTCGGAGCCAAACGAAACAGAAATTTGATGTTAACATATATATATACAAGTAATACATGCCGTTTGGAAATATTAAAAATGTTAAAATATTGTTCCTTTGGACTTTAATGATAGGATGTATGACGAACGAAATGTTAAACCCCATATTGGATTTTGGTATAAATAAAAATACGAAATTGAGTCGGAAATTTCGGAAATTAATTTCATGGTAGACCCGCAGATTATTGACAGGTATTTCAATAGATAGATCGTTCAGATAAAAAACTTTTTAAATCGAAATTGTCGATTTCTTTACAAATGCCTCGAATCTCAAGGTAGATATTAACCCCAAAATGTCGATAATTTTGTGCGGAAAATTGATTACAAAACCCGGATCTGTCAATAAAGAGATGCATAAATTTGTGCGCCGATGTAAATAAATTCAGATCGAAAACTGATGATCAGACTCATTGACATCAAACAAATTACCTACAAAGTAATTAAGAATACAGTTTAGTGTCACGTTGACCGATTTCTGGCAAAGCTTCAGGTATCCAAAACACATAACTCGATGCATCTAAATGTGTACATACAAGCACTACATACGGTAATGTATATAAATAGATCTTAGGGCGTTCACCCGCATACCACGTGATTGTAATTAAAAAGATGTGTGTAGTATGCTATTCCAGAAACGGTTTCAGTTGAAGCTAGAAGAAAATAGGACTAAAATTAACACGACCAGAATATATTTTTAAGTGTTCATCTGAGTTCAAACCAAATTGTTATTGTTTAGGTTAGAACTAATGCCAATAAATTAATATTTTTAGTAATGATCTAATCCTAATCAATTTAAAAAATATGGAGTAATTAATTTGGTAATATGTTTCGTTGTATGTGTAGATATATCACATAATATCGTTAACAATTCCTAACTGATTTTGATGATTATTTTTATGTATAAAGGAATATTGATCGTGATATTGTTTCGATTTTATATATTATCGTGGAACAAAATCTTTATTATTACTTTATAAATGAAAAGAAGTAATTGACTGTTAACTCTATTTCTATACCCTCATGCATTCCGAAATGGAATAACTTTTTTTTAATACGAATCACATAAACATTTAGAACAAGGACATAAGGTATATTTTTGACAATACTCAGTAATAAGAAATATTCGTTACACTATAAAAATTCTGTGTTAATATAAATCGGTTTAACGATTCCGGAGCTTAGCGTGAACGAATATTGTGACAAGGGATTTCTTATTAAGATGAATATAAAATGGTGATCACTAGCTTGATAAGTTAAATATGATCCTATATATATGACAGTGTAATAAAACCCCTTTACATCCATAATGATGTGACAGTGTAAAGAACAACTAGTTGTTCAACGCATTTGACATATCCCGAAAGAATATTATAACAATTCGGGACTCATTGCCCTATGTAGATACGTCTATTGGACAACTGAAATGTGTTCTTTAGACTGTGGTAATATGTGGAATCTGACATTGTACCAACACAAGGCAAAAAACGTCTACATGTACAGATGTATCATATATATAAAATATTTTATTTATTTATTACATCCTAATCCATTATTTATTACAACCTAATACAACGGTTCCTCGTAAAATATTTTGTTTGCTACTGATAATGTTATTGTTCAACAAAAATGCATTGTTATCGATAACAGTAGATATCAAACAGAGTGAGCGAGCGTGAAAGAGCATCGATTTTCCCGTAAGCCTGCCTCTCAGCCAAAAGATTTAAATGGCAGATAAAAACTGGGACAGACAGACAATGAGACCGAAATAGAACAATACTAATTCTGTCTTTTGTGTATCGTTTACTTGAAAGTAATATTTTAAACTCTTTTATTATTTAATTAAAGAATAAAATATTCTTTTTTTTTCTGGCTAGAAATTTATTTTTAATTATTAATCTTAACTTATCTATATAAAACATAATGATAAAAAAATAAATAATAAATTAAAACAATTAGTCTAACCTACAGAGCCACTTCTACTTCAGTAAACGAATAATTATATAAATTATTGTTGGATATTAAAATATGCAGCCAACATATTTTATAGTGTATATATTTCATCAAAACGTGAAGATTCTCGATTTGACACTTGGTTTAACTTCGCATACAAGTGTTAATAAAATAATATAAAAAATATTAATAATGCTCTATTTGTTAATTAGAATAAACAACTGTATAGAACCTAGTAAATGTTAAATTGTTTTTCAAGAAACGATATTTTTCTTTTCACACATGCATTAGGTAATATAAGTAAAGGTGGCCTGTTATATTTATAAGTGATATTAAACTCAAACCGGCATTTTTAATACAATTTTGCAGAACAGTTTTTGCATGCAATAGTTAAATTAAAAAATAAATGTAACAATAATATTAATAAAATAATATTAGAAAATAGATCTATCAATAGTCATTAAATTTAATATAGATTTTGTATTTGGGGAAAAAATATAGGTTACTTTTGTTCTAATCAATTAATATATTTTATATAATTATAATATATTTCACCAGAGGGAGACATTGTACAAAAGTCGCTTCCTTGGGTACCACTGTCCCATTCGTGTTTCTACCGTAAAGCAGTTGTGTTTGCATGGCTATGTTTCGGTTTGAAGGGTGGGATATGGCGTGAATTTACAGAGTACAGAGGAATAACAATTGAGTCCTCAGGAATGGCAACGCATGGGGGGTATCATGAGCGAAACAGTATACTCTGTTATGTCCATGGTACTGCTCATGTCTATAGGCGACGGTTTCCACTTTCCATCAAGTGGGCCGTCAGCTTGTTTGGCATTCTAAGTTGTATAAAAAAAAATCCAGGCCATACACGCAACTTCATTAAATGCGGGTAAATAATACTTATATTGTTTATGTATATTATAGACAAATAGATAAACTTACCTTTTCCTCCTTCTATGTGAACCCACTTTTCAGTACAAACAGCCGTTATCCATACAAATGTGCAGAGCCCAACGAAAATTGTACAACCAAATAAGATACGTCTTTCAATCACTAGAGCTTGCATCAATGGCCTTCTTTCAGCTCCCACAGACGACGCTGTGGACATTTTGTCTGTCTCCATATTTGATGAATCTGAAATAAAAAAAAAATATTATTAGAATTTTGTAAGAATATACTTCCTACATTTTTACTATATATACTAAAAAAACCAGTTATTTCAATGACAATTAATGTGAGTATAATTATTAAGGACAAGAATTTTCAAATACTGTTTAGGACTGGCGACATACACAAACATGGAAAAAAAATTAAGAATGGACCTCCTTTTGAAAGACGCTTATTCATGAGGATTTATTTAATATTTAAAGAACGAATGGAATAGTACTCCCGTTCTATGGTAACGATATACAGTAGTAGAGAACCGGTCGACAACCATCATACTGATTTCACTAGAAATTAAACACTAGAGAAGAGAGATTCCAGGTAATAAGGACTAGCATTCTCGTTACCAACAATTCCTATCCACAAAAAAACGATGTGGTCCAAAATATTTTTCCCCTTTGTCTTGTAAAATTTATTATGATTACCAAAGCAGCCAATACGACATTTTGATGTGGTCGGGAATATCAAACTCCGCGTTACGCTCGCCTCATGACCATTATTTATTATCTTTTGACTGTATTTCAATTCCTACGGTACTTCATTCCAAATACTTTTATTTTTAGCAATTTCTCAATGTCACTGAAGAAAAGAATATTCTAACAAATAAGTATAAAAGTCGGCTATATAAACTCAGTAAACGACTGAGATGATATAAAATATAAATTTTATTAAATTTACGATTATTATACATATTTACACTTAGATTATAAATAATAACAGATATCGAAAAATATATTAAAGAATGTATGTTCCTCTTTTAATAGATAGAGAGATAAACTTTTTATTTGAGCCACACATTTATGACACACGTAAATTTACAAATGAGTTTATACAATCAAATTATTTACACTTTTAATTTTTTTTTTTATGCAACTTAGAATGGCAAACAACCTGATGGCCCACGTGATGGAAAGTGGTAACCGTCGCCTATAGACATAAGCAGTACCATGGACATAACAGAGTATACTATTTCGCCCATGATACCCTCCATGCGTTGCCATTCCTGAGGATTCAGATGTTATTCCTCTGTACCCAGTAAATTCATGCCCACCCTCCATCCCTCTTCAAACCGAAACACAGCCATGCAAACACAACTCCTTCACGGTTGAAACACGAATGGGATAGACGTACCCAAGCAATCGACTTTTGTACAAAGTGTCCCTCTGGTATATTCAACAAAAGATAAAATATGAAAATATGGTTTCGCCATGTATGTCGCAGTGACCCATAGTGATAATTACTTCGTAATAGTGATTACGAAGATAATGAATACATACATATTTTATTTCATTATTATTATTATAAGATAAAATAGATAAGTAATATAATATTTTAGAACAAATCTTTGAGTTGCAAACTGTTTTTTTTTAATAGGAAAGTATTAAACTCATTAAGGTTTAGCAAAAATATCACAAATATTTTTTTATAAATTCTAAATCAATTATGAACTAACATGATCAGAACAGAAAAACTAATTTTGTTAACAAGATTTAAAGATTAAGTTTCGTAAACAAAATAAGTCTTTGTTATTTTAATATTCATAATTGTTTTTGCGATTTATTTTATTATTTTTAAATCACTAATTCGTAATTAATCTCCCGAGTTACTTTCAAATTGATTTTATTACAATTAACATTGTATTTTTTATTACGAAGCAAAAGACTGTTAACAACAAAAATCTATTTTGTAAACATTCTGTATTCTAAATTAGGTAAAATATTAAAATATTTCATGATTTATTATGATTGAAATTGTTATTCTTCGTTATATGTGCATATATTAAAATGTATTTATTATCACATTACTGGCTACAGACATACTCTTATGGTGCTGGTCTTTCCTAATAAAATGTAGATTTAAACATGAACAGGTAGTCATAGACATCTTAAATAAATTTTATCGAGGGAAAACTATCCTAAAGGTAATAAAAATAGGCGTAATAATAAATTATCGCACCGTACGTACTAATACAAATCACTGTTATCACGTTAATATGTCATTTGGATAATAATTGATTAGGTAGGTTTATTGGTTGGCCGATAAAACTGTTGTGTGATAGCTAATAAAACCTATAACACGAACCCATTTCTTCGTATGGCCATCGTTAGAGTCATCTAGAATCAGAGTAGTTCACACTCTGGCGTCATATAGTCGATGAGGTTTATTAAGATGGCGACCATAAATTTCCACTTAATAATCTCGATAGTAGATTCATTCAAATGATTTGATCTTCAGGAAGTTAGTGATTGTACAGTAAGCGTCAAAAATCGATGAATGCATTAAAATTTTCAAACAATTAATAATATGTGTTACACTATCACACCAATCGCCTGATCCTCAATATTGGGTATTTTTTGGGATATTTTCTATACTCGCAATATGAACATCTGGAGGCACAACTCAGAATCTCCAATCCAAGCTAATTCAAAAACAGTTCGTTTTCTAAATTTATCATCACCAACATATCTGCCTTTATCTGCCCAATGCTAAACATGAAGGCGTTCCCCATAGATTGAAGGGCTACGACAATTGTTGGCACGCTTGGCAAGCATGTTGACAACCGCAGTTAGGTTTTGGTAACATTTTGAGAAAGAAGTTGTTGCCAATTCCTCAACCTAAGTTTCGCTTACGACACCCAAAGGAAAGAAAGAGGTAGCCCATTCCATGCCAAGACCACATAGCGATTTTTCTAAATTGGCCCTTATCATTTTCCAACGCACATGTGCATATATACATTGTACTTATTTGATTAATTTTGATTTGATATAATACTCATCCAATTCTGGCTTTAACATTGTTGAACTTCTTATGTATGCAACTTTACAGGTTTTCAATATCTGTAGTTGTAGGTGTAGGTAGTCATCAACTTTTAATGTAGACTATATACATCATTTTTTTTTTATTTTACAATTATTTCAAAATTACAATTATTGTGTTAAATTTAATATATCTATGGATTCTTTCAAATTTTATATTTTAAATGAACTTATTAGATGATATCGCCATATTTTTTTTATGTGTCTTTATTTTGTTTGATTGCCATAGAGAAGTTTCAATATTGATTAAATCCATAAATTTTAAATATTTCGAGTTCATAATTGGATGATTAATAGGGTTAGGCTAATTTCAATATGTATTACAAGTTAATTTATGTATATACAACATCGAACTAAAATTCAGAGGTGCTTTTAAATTATAATCAATGGTAGTGAAATTGTAATCATCATCATCATACCAGTTGTTACTGTCTACTGCTAAACACAGACCTCCCCCATAAGGGTGGCTTTGCCAGTATTTGCCGTTTAGCAGACGGATTGACAATCGCAATTAGACTTATACAGAAATTGTAATGAAAATAATTAATTAAATACAAACATAATTACAATAAATTTATCCATAAATTTATACGTACAATAAATGGAAATGGTCTGTAATTTCTCAGACGTCTACGTTCTAGTACAGTGACGTCATAAGTCGTTTATGAGTTCATGCTAATAGGTATGCCGTCGTTCCATTTTAATGCCCACACTAAAACTATAATCGCATATAATCCCCGTTCTCCTGTATTTTCAATAGACTAGAGAAATAATCGCTTCGAATAGAAAGTACTCTTGAGTGTGTTTGATACTTCTTTTATTGTGCTCGTAGCTTAAGTATCATAATTCTCTTACAGTTACATACCATATACTCGTAATACGTCTCGATTGCACGTTATCGGTGGTGTAGCGGTTGAAGTTATTTTCGAATTGTCGCGTGTTCGGCCCCGTATAATACAAATATTTGTATTCATGAGTATTATATTTTGAACAATAAATTTGAGTGTTTTTATATATATATATATATATATTTTGCATATATTTTACATATATATCTTGCACCTATTTATCTAAAAAAGTGTTAAAGTACTTCTATCCCTTGTCAAGTGTAATACAAGCTCTGCGTCGTTTCCAACTAGATGATGCTGTGAAAAAAAAAATGTGTTTAATAGTTTTATTATAGTGCCTATCTCTATCTTTAGAAATTCTGATAATAAGCGTAGTAATATTTTTTTTTTTATTATATTGTTTCATTAACCTGTGTCCATTTCCCCAGTAACTGAATAAATACTTTATTCCATTTTCTATATCAAAATTGTAGATTGACATAATCATTGGTAGTTTAATATAAATAAATGTATGTGTTATTTTCTATCAATCTATACTTTTTGTTTTCCTAATTGTATCATATTATAAATAAACTACATTATTTATTTCGGAATTTTATTACCTATTATTACCTAATATAAAGGTAAAAGTGTGTAAAGATGTTTGATTATTTAGAAATTTGGACTTAATCATTGATTTTATATACACAAATTTTAATAGTTATTATTCTAGTAAGTTTTATTATATTCAGATTATAATATATTTATAAAATTAGACTCAATTTAAAATTAATTTTTGTAGATATTTGATTAAAATATTTGACTGCTATCTCTGCAATACAAAATTATATCAGGTACAGGAAATTGAAAGGTGTGTTAAAATATTTACGAATACGTAAATGTTTTCTAAATATAAGTATATCTGTTCAGTGTTCCTGACGCTCGGTCATGTTTATACTAACAAACGTTTTATATTATTCTTGTGAATGTACATTGAGCAAAAAAAAAATAGGGAATTAGTTCTTTCAACATGTTAATTAAGGAGGTTTCTATTTGTGAAATACTTCGTTGAGGCTTCGTGAGAAAGTTTCATTGCAAATTTCGAAATAATATTCTTTTTAAATTGCATTACTATGTCTCTAATATAAGTGGACTGGCACACTCTAAAGAGACTTACAGCATACTCAAAAAGAGGCATTTGATTGGAACCCTCAAGGAAAGCAAAAACGTGACAGCTCTAAACAAAAGTAGCAACATACGATTCTTAAAGAAGGAAGCAGCGTCCGAAATATGTAGAGTGAGCTGAAACGAATAACAGGGGACCGAT